CGGCGGCTAGGTGGGGAGTTTGGGGCCCCGATTGGTCGGCAGCGCCTCGACGCAGGCCCGCGCTCGCCGCATTAATTATTCTAAATAAGTCGTCGTGCATTTTCGCACGCTCGGCCCGCGTGCCGGTCATTACGTGGACTCGGCGCTAGCTGCCAGTTGACGAATCGCGCGCAAAGCCAGCTCGGCTGCACGTCAACGCGAAGCAAGTCCGCCGCCCTGGCGCGCTTTTCTTTCACGAGCGTCCGCATAAGCGCTCTTGTCTCGTTGCAGCCGTGAAAGCGCCGAGAGCCGCGCTCCGAGGCGCATTAAAGCATTTGCACCTTTTCTCGCCAGCCTCTTACTTATTTAAAATAACACTCGAGCAGAGAGGAACTCTCGCAAGGAACGTTCTCGGAGCGCGTTATACAGCTTTACTCGCGTGTCGGCTGTAGCCTCGAGTCCCGGGCACTCAACGAGAGAACAACGTTTCGCATATCTAGGCTTACTTGCACAGTGCTTGCCTAATTATCATCAGATATATCCACGAACAATAAGATTTGCTATGAAAGTTGCAAGATAACTCACCTGGCAGGCTCGGTCGATCAAATGATCGCATCGCGTGGAATAGGCGAAATTCGCGTGGCCCGAAACGGCTCCGAACAAAATACAACGCCGTAGCCGTCTGTATCAAATCTGAGAGAGCTCGGGCCGACTTCGGTCTCTCATTGTTGCGTCGAGTAGGGGCTATAAGGCTCCCATGCGCACTGGCGTTTCTCGTACCCTTATCGAGTTCTCCGTGCCTATACACATACCAATCTCGACATAGTTATAACTGACGCGGCTGCAGTCGCTCGATAGTTGCTCAAACTTTCTCTTTCGTACACACGTGAATAAGCCAACGTCTACTTTGACCCCTCGCACTCCAATACCGCACTCGATTAATCCAAACGCTTCGAAATGCCATCATGCAGATTCATGAGCTAGCACTATCGCTATAATAAGCCTATCGTGTAAAATCGTGTAAGATCGTGATTTCGCGTTCTCCCATGCGATCTCCGTGACCGCGATGTCTGCACCAAAGATTTCTGCTCATTATCGCGCCTGCCTGTAATAGCATAGTTACTAGTGGCGCGACCTTTGAAAGCTCTCAATCAATATCATCTCGGAGCACTTTGTCTTGACGAAAATTGCAGGCAATATCAATCTTGAGCATCGCGATATATAAATCAATGTTTTCTCTACTGCATCCATGATCGTTGTGCGCTTTTGAAGCTTCTATTTTAGGTAAGACAGCGATCCAACGACGTCGTACCGCGATAAGCGTCGCGCTTGAATAACAACCGAAGCTGCTGGGCGGCCTTTTTATCTGGAAGTATATTTTCTTCCTGGAAGACGTTGAAGCAGAGAGAGAGAGAGAGAGAGAGAGAGAGAGAGAGAGAGAGAGAGAGAGAGAGAGAGAGAGAGAGTGGCTCATGAATATTAATGCCGAATCAAGTATAAACTAACTGATCAATCGATATATTTCAATATAAATATCTGGGCGGCGAGGATTGCGATGTCTGTATATAGATTTACCAGCTAGAAGACCACCGACCACGCTCGTCATTATCACGAGAATAATACATCAATCGGAGTTTGCAAATGGTTAATCTAATAAAGTTGAGAAACGCGTTCTCGGAGATGATGCGTGTCTAATAAATAATAAAGGGTAAGCGAGTTTTTGACCACTCGCCGAGAGTCTTTCGTATGTTATATATACATCTTGCTTCTCGGATCTAGGACCCATCGAGCGCGCGAGGCTATCCTCAATTTGTATCCGACGGATACGAGCAGAGGCGCTTTGCCGCTTCTCTTTTCGACCCTCCTGATTGGGTCTCTCAACGAGACACTCCCAATTCTTTCATATATCACTAAATCCTGCTGCTTGGTTCTGTACCTCACAGATTCTGTTCTCACGAGAGCCTCCGTCATGGCTAGCAGCTAATCCTGAATCGTCGGACGAATGTGCCGTAAATACAGTCTACGTGAAATTCAGTGCAATACAGGTGTATCGCGAGGAGTGTGCGGGGAGAGTGCAGGTCGAACGAGAGGCCAGTCGGTATGAAGGCATGCTGCCGCAAAGGGAGGACAATGAGCCGCAAAGGATACTGCTTGCACGTGCCCATTACGCGGCCAAAGCAATTGACGCTCTCCCGCGAACGGAAGAGCTGTCGTGTGATCTGCCTCGAGTGACAAAATGCTAAGGACATAGACGTATATAGACGCCAAATGGCCACGTGCACTCACTTTAGTCACGACCTGCTTGTTTGCTACGCTTATTTCGTATATCGTTTGCTTTCGTGCAATGCTTTTCAATTATATATATGAAAGCGCTATTAGTTAGTGTAATTTTAATACATTTCGGGTAAACAATTCACTGAAATATTTTAAAAACTCAAAGAACTCATTATAGAAAATGATCAAATTATGTATCCGATATCCATACAGACACACACACACACACCACGCACACGCATGCGCACACACGCTCAAAAAATTTTCAACGTCAATCGTCAAATCTAAATCCATAGGGCACGTAGATAAAATACACATATTTCAGTAATAAATCCAATCCATTCAGTATCATGTTGTCGACTCATCATTTTTTAATATCTTTTTACCACTGTCTGTGAAATTAAAATGAATAGTAATGGTCTCATCATTTGGATTGAAAGAGAAACAGAGAGAGAGAGAGAGAGAGAGAGAGAGAGAGAGAGAGAGAGAGAGAGAGGAATAAAATGGAGGAAAAAATGCTTTAAATTTCTGTATGTTTTATTTTAAAAACGAGCTGATAGCGAAAGCTTGTCAGTATGTTAAATCCATAAAATCTTAACCATTTTCAAAATTGTTTTCAAAGTGACTAGTTGTAAATTAAAAACACACAGATTTCTGAAATTCATTACTAATAATATTGTAATTCTAGAGCCACTGCTAAATTACTAATGTTGAGAAAATGTTTGATCGAGCGCAAGTCTACTGAAACTTATAATTATATCTTTCAAATAAGAATTTGAACTTTTGTCAAGTAATGAATGACAATTGAATTTTATTTATTAACGAATATCCGTGATCGCGATATATTCAAACTGCATCGTTTATTCGTGTATCTGTAGTATTGAAATTTTTAAATTACCATGGACAAGAAGCTCTAAACAACGCTAGCGGGAATAAAAGACTCATGAGACGAATCTGACATTTTTGTGAGCTTATATACCAGAGACTATACCTTGGCATTCTAGAAAAATCCATAATCTAGCATTCTGATATCATTCGTGTAAGGATTCATATATGTACCATAGTAGACATGTTTTTAAGATGGATGATTAATGCAATTTATATTTTGAATTGAATATTATGAGGATCATTAAAAATGTTGTAACATGGAACTATTACAGCTGCTCATAACTGGTTTTGAGGACGGATTGATTGATGGATGAGTTTTGAATAGGCTTCCAAGTAAAATCGTGTATAAAAAGAAGAGCAATGATGCCGCTGCGTGTATGGAAGGGAGAATCCAGTGGAGATGACTCTGAGGCAGCTTATTGCCGACTTCTCTGTTACGGTGCAAGTGATTTCAGTGGGGAAAGGGAGATCGCTCGAAAGGGTATGCTTTCGAGATGATCCTGTTTCATTGTTGACTTGATTGAAGCATAACTGTGCGAGTAATTGTAAAAATAGTATTTGAATTGGTCTTGTTTGCAAAAACATAGCACGACCCTCGAGACCAAATGCAACTATCGAACAAAAGGATCTTCGAATGTGACTTAATGATTTCTATAGTTGTCCAATTAATGAGATTGTTTTCATACGAAAAACAGCATTACAGATGTTGACCGCGTATGCGGCTGCACTGAGTATTGTTGTTGATGGGTCGCTATGTATTGCCGCAGACCATCCGAGAGCTTAGCGGAAACGTTTCGCCAGTGGGAGTGGAGGGGAGCTGAAAAACGACAATGAGGTGAGCGATTGAGAATGACGTAAAGGTTATTTAGATGTAATATGGAATAGGGCTGCACAGAGAGCATAGAGAATCATATAGCACTCATGGGCGTTCGCTAAATGATTGGTTCGCCGTAACATTTCCATAAGATGGCTTTGTAAATGCATAATTCTACATGGCGCCGTTTATTTCTTCATCGAAGGAATCATCACGCTCTTTCGAGATATCTCAGTCTGCGAGGGCAGAGCTTGAGGCCCGTGATGTAGCAATAGAAACGATTTATTATCTGGAGGCCGAGCGAGACAGAGAGGAGGATGATTTGCGCGCGGCCAAGCAGAGAGCCATGCACGCGAAAGAGAGGAGCAAAAAGAGGCAGGCAGAGCGAGGAGAGCGGCGCAGGCAGGGCAGACGCGCTGTAAAAAATCGGACCAGTCAATGATGGTGCCCGAGGGCCCCGGCTGGCGGCCGCCGCGCAAACCCGAGCGAGGGGGGCCCGCGAATAAATTACGCGATCCGCAGTCCGCAGTCCGCGGCAAGGGCAGTCCCTGCCAGCGGCCGGCTAACACATTCGTCGGCCGCTCTCGTAAAGTGCCAGGCAAAAACGCGCGCCGCGAGTCGTCGCTCGGCGGGCCTGCGCGCGCACGGCGCCGGGGAGCGGGCGAGCGCGAGCGAGCCGGCAGCGGGGAGGGCGGCGGGGCGGCGCTCGGAGGGCGTGATGGCCGACGGGGCGGGGCCGCGGGTCGGCGGGGGCGCCGCTGGTAGCGCGCGCGCCGGCGGCGGGCGGGGCCCGGCCCGGCGCGGCGGCCGCTGCTTGGCTCGCAGCCGCGGCCTGGGCGGAGTCGCCGCCTAATAGAGATGCCATCGAGGGTGTCTGGCGCACTGCGGCTCGCGAGGGCCCGCGTGGGAGGCGAGAGGCCGGAGCGAGCGCCGCGGCGGCCGGCGCAGCGAGCGGGGAAGGGGGCAGCCTCGCTCCACTAAGTAGGGACCGGCGGCCTGCCTAGTTTAGACATCACCGAGCGACGGATGGACAACCAGTCAGACTCGTCACGGCCCCCGCTCAACACGACTCTCTAGCAGCCGCTGCAAGCGTCGCGCCGTTCGAGGCTGTTGAAAGCGTAGTGCAGCGCGCAGGCAGCCGGCCGTGCACTCCTCGCGTCGTCGCGGCGGGCGCGGGCCCGCGTCGCACGCTCGCCCGGCGATGAGTGTGGCCCTGGCAAGCATGGACTCGGCTTACGGATTGAGCAGACTCGCCCTGAGCGGCATCAGCGTGCACCAGCACCTGCTGCACTTGCAGCAGCAGCAGCAGCAGCAGCAGCACCACCACCACCACCTCCACCACCACCTCCGCCAGCTGCCCGACGCCTCGTGCCCCGCGACCTCGCCGTCGGGCGCCTCGGCGGCGGCAGCGCTGCGCTTCAGCGTGGTCAACATTCTCAGGCCGGACTTCGGCCGGGAGGCCATCGCCGCGCGGCCGGCCGAGGCCTCGAGCGCCGCGAGCAAGAGGACCCCCATCCGAGTGACAGCGCTGCCGGCGCACAGCCCCCTGGCGCTGGCCCGCGACCTGAGCGCCCTGAGCAGCCGCCACTCGCAGTCGCCGCGGCCGCGGCCCAGCCAGTCGCCGCTCGAGCTCGCCCCGAGCTCGGCCTCCACCCTCAGCCGCAGCGCCAGCCTCGAGAGCCTCGCCAGCAGCCGGAGCTCGGTGGCCGGCAGCTCGGTCAACTCGCCGGCGGCCTCCAGCGTCGGCGCCGAGTCCCTCGGTGCCGAGTCCAGCGCCGGCCAGCAGAGCCTCTGGCCCGCCTGGATCTACTGCACCAGATACTCCGACAGGCCCTCTTCGGGTGAGTCTTCTGGTCGGGGGTGCGGCGGCTGCGCGTCCGTTCGCCTATTGCGGCTGCTCGATCGCTGTGCCGACTCGCTGGAAAAAACCGCGATAAAGATATATGCGTCAGCCGTACGTCGGACGTGCGGATGGCGGCCTTGACTATCGCCTTGTGATTGCGCGACGGCTGATCGTCGACACGTGCGTCGCGCGCAGATCGTCGAATAAAGTCGTCCCGATTTTTCAACACCCTCGCTTGGCGCGATCATTGCCGCGAGTCGAACCAGTTGAGCAAACATCAGCTGTGCGCGTTATATCATTATTTGGATCGCGCGTGAATACGCGAGCGCATCGGCGGATAATCTATAGGCCGAGGTGTGTGCGTAGTTGTCGGTACGCGCGACGAGTCGAGCAAATTATGCGCGGGGCCGTGTAGCCGCAAGGCGGCAAGGTGTGCTGCTCGCGCGCGACTCTCCGTCAGCGAAAGGGGTGTACGGCGGCTCGGCGGCGGCGCGGCGTCGGCTCGGCGGCGGCTCGGCGGCGGCTCGGCGCCGGCTAATGGCACCTAATTCAATTAGAAGAGATAATGCCGGCGCGGCAATCCAGAGGGATCTAAATCGGCTGCGAGCACGCGCCGCGCTAGGCACGCGATCTAGGCCGCGCTAGTCCTCGGCGGCGCGGCAAGCGCTGCTGCGGCGCCCGCTGGCACGGCTTTGCTGAGTGTCGAACGCTTGTTGCATTGCAGGACCGCGCTCGAGGCGAGTGAAGCGCTCGCAGAAGATCAAGACGCCGTCGGTGCCGGACGAGAAGCGGCCTCGCACGGCGTTCAGCGCCGAGCAGCTGGCCAAGCTGCGCGACGAGTTCGCCAAGAACAAGTACCTGAACGAGGAGCGCCGGCAGAAGCTGTCCAAGGACCTCGGCCTGAACGAGCAGCAGATCAAGATCTGGTTCCAGAACAAGCGCGCCAAGATCAAGAAGGCCACCGGCCAGAAGAACCCGCTCGCGCTGCAGCTGATGGCCCAGGGGCTGTACAACCACTCCACGGTGCCCGTCGACGAGGACGCCGAGGAGGGCCTGTCCAGGTAGGCTGCCGCCGGCCGCGCAGCCTGCGACTAGTTGGCACCGTGCTTCCCCTCTCGCGCGTCCTCGGGTCGGCGTGTTCTCGTCCGCCTCGTCGCAAGACTGTCCTGGCTGTAGACTGCAATAGACTGTACTGCCTCGCTTCAGGCTCCTTAGTTCTTAAACTTGTATGTATCTCGCTATTCCGTATTTGATGTATGCATCCGCGTGCTCAGCCAGAGATTATTATTATTTATTTCGATGTATATAGACTGTATATAGCCCCTGATGGTATCTTGTTTGTCCATATGTATATGTGTAAATGCGATACAGCTGCCCTCGCAGTTGACATCCATTGCGTACAAAGATTATCTAAATAATTATCATTATGCAGTAGGCTCGATACTCGATCGCATGCGTCCTTTCTATCGTTCTCGCTTGCAGATTTTCAACCGTAGGACTTGCGTTTCGTTGTATTGTGCGTCGCAGACAATTGAATCGATGTAATGAGTATATCGTACAGAGCTTCCGTTTATGCACTAATCATGTCTAAATAACAAAGCCCAGTGAGTTAGATTCCCAGTTAGTTCGCGCTTCGCATCGCAAATCAACGTCATCACACCGTCGTCTATCGCCATAACGTTGTGTACGAAATGATCTCATTGAACATGTGTATGCGTGTATATATATATATTTACCTGTTACGTATATGACATTGTCTCGGCCACGCTCGAATCTCTTGTAGAGAACAGTGTAACGAACTTATACATCTTTCTAATCGTCCTAAGCTGATATTTATTAGCGATTATTAAAATATTACTACAAATACAGAAAAATGTCGTTTTCCTTTTCATTACTATTTATTTGGCCATATTCCTTTAGCCTCGCTGAAAGGCGCATTCGTCGAAAATTCTCGTAGCCATGTATGCATTTGCAAGTTTGACATACGTACGATAATCCGTTGCGATGACCATGATTCGGCTTCAACTATCACGCTCCGTAAAGGTTGAGCGTAGTAGATCGAGAAGAGGTCGCTCTGAGCTTGTCGAGCATCCGCAAGGCAGGAAGGAAAGATGGAACCGGCGGAGGGGAAACGCACCAGAAATCGATTCTCCGCGTACGAACGGAAGAGCAGAATGATCTGTGCTGCCTGGTGGGAGGAAAATAGCGAGTAGCAAGCCGTGGCAAAGGACTGCTTGCGAAAGCTACACCGTGATTTTTATTATAGTTGGCAAGTGTTTAATAGGGGAGGAGGAGAGAGGCTAAAATAGTAAAAGAGCACGAGCGGTAAATCATGGGGAAGGATGCGAAGGAGCGATAAAAATGTTGAAAGATAGGCAAGCGAATGATTTTGAGAGCTAGATGTGGCTGGAGAGAGCAGCCAGTAGATATGGAGAGTGAAATAAGTGCGGAGTTGAAACAATTTGGCCGGGCAGGCCTCGTAAACTTGTCCGCGACTGGGTGGTTGGATGGTCGGGCGGTTGGCGGGGGCGAATAAATTCATAGTGATTTAAGGTGGGAGCGTGCGGGTGTAGCGCTGCGCGGCTCCAGGCTATGCGTGCGCTCTTTAGTCGCGGATAAATTACCAGCGCTCGCGCTTGTCCCGGGCCATTGTGTTTAATTGCTGGCGCGTCGAGGCGCAATTGCCGAAGAGGGCCGCCGCCGCCGCCGCCGCCACTGCTGGTCGCGATAACGAGGGCCTGCTGCACGGTTGGCCGTCGCTTGATAGCGCGGCTTGCGCTCGCAGTGAGAAATAGCCCGGAGCTGCAGCCATTAGAGGTCTCCGGGGCGGCCGCCAGTGGCTTACTAAATTTCCGGCACTTCTTGGCCGCAATTCCCGCAGCGCGCCACCTGCCAGCTGCGCCACCGAAGCAGCCGAGCCGCCCCTACTACGTCCGCTAATGGCCCTCTGCCGCGAGCCCAACTTATCATTTGGGCCACGCCGCGCGTCTCAATAGCTCGCTCTCTATAAATACAATTGCGATTGCGCAGCTTTGGCGTGCAGTGTAGCGCGGCGCGGAGCAACGGCCAGACAGCACGTGTATCCAACTAAGTCTAAATTTACGTTCCGCACTGCTCGCCGTTCGCTCATCGATTTACGCTCGCTCGCCCCGGCTTCTCACACCTTCGAGCTCATCAGCCGCGTGACTTTCCGGCAGGCCCGTCCAATAAATATCTCCGCTAGCTAATCGCTTGTCGAGTCGTTCGGGGAGTAGCGCGCCGCGCGCTTTCCGCCTCGCTGCCGCGGCAGAAGCCCCGGGGCTCGCGGCCTCGCGCGCATCACTCTCGCCGCCGGCCAAGTGCACCGATTTAGCTCCGCGGCCTGACGCAACGCCGCAACGCGCAGCGCTCTCTGCCCGCGGCCGCAGCTTGCCCGCGCGAAAATAATACTTGGCAACGCTTATTTATATGCGCGCTCGGGCCTGTTGCTCGCTCGATTCCGCGCCGCGCGCGAGCAGGCCGAACGACGGAAAAAAGCGCTGGCAATTAGCTGGCCGTAAATGTGTCGCCGCTTATGATCTGCGAGGCAGATGTCTGCGCATAGATCACGGCTCGTAGCCTCTTTCTCTTTTTCGCGCCGCGAGCGTGGCACAGAGGCGGCTGAGCGCGCGCCGACAGTCAAAGAAGCGAGGCGCGACGAGCGCAGCCATCGGGGAGCCCGAAGCCGCGAGCCTAATTGGCTGGGCTGCGAGCGCGATATTAGAACCTCGTTATCCTAACGAGCTCCAGTGCGGCTCAGCACTTGTACTCTGCCCGAATAGGCACCACCCCCCCGCGCCCAGCGCGTATCCACTTCCCGTGTCCGCGTCCCGTGGCTTTTCGCGACTCGCTCCTCTCGTCGGAAGACCTTTACGGTCGCGAGCCCGCCGAACCACTGCGAGTCGGAGATGATCGCGAGGCTAGGACAGCTGGCCAGCGGCGGCAGGCCCGAAGAGAGAAACGAGGAGCGAGGCAACGCGATTCGGTGCCCTTTCGGCGCAGACCGTTTATTGCACGGACTCGCGCCAAGTCGGCTATTGTTCGCGAGATCTTTCAAGGCCCCGGAGCCGTGGCGCGCAGCGGATGCCGCACAGGTCCAAGGCTAATTAACCGATTAGTCCTGTGCGCGCGACACTCGCCCACTCAACCCTCGCGAGCCCAATCGCACTCGGGACCAGCTCCTCCGACTGCGCGGCAGAGTCGATGCTAGCTGCCTCTCGAGTTCTCCTCGTTTTCTTCTCTCCTTCGCTTACACCACTCGCTCGCTTCTCCGCGCCTCGCTGCGCGCATTCCCGACAAATCATTTGCGGCGGATATCTGGAGCACATTGTCGCATCGCACCTTACACTGCCTCTACTTGCTGCGACGTCTAGGTTGTCCTGCTTCTCCAATAATCACGCAATTGGTGACGGGTCTCCCACAATTCCTATAATCTAAGTGCTAACATTATTATATATATATGTATTCTAGCTTGTTCAAGCGTCAACCATGGCGCAGTTTTTCTACAGCCGATTGCCAATTGACGCCACTGTGATAATCAGTGCTAATGAGATATCATTGGCTGTCTTCTAATCAAATTACTTCTAATCTTATTTATTATAGTTAGTATCTTGAGTAGTGCCTCAGTAAGCCAATCAAAGTTTACTCAAACCCAATACCAATAATCGTTTGTTTCCCGTTTAACTGACTGCAACTATTGTCCCATGTTCGTTTCAGTTTCGTTATCACCGCAACACAAATAAGAGTCTCCTTCGGATGTTGCACGTGTAAATCAAGAGGCAAGATTTTTCAAGCTATTGTATTGTAAGTATGACAGCTCGAAAGGCGAAGAGCTCGAAATTTTCTGTATTACATATCTTTTCGCACTGATTTCAGAAAGTATTATCTATGGCTTGGTTTTAAATTCTGCTCTTTGATGCACTTGGCATACAAATGTTGTAAAATCGCAACGACTCGCGAAAATTGAGCAAGTTCAAAGCGCTATTATGGGACATAATATACGACTCTTACGCTTTTTTTCATTTCATGATACTACACATTTGCACTTTTATAGAAACAAATTATGCTTATTTACATCATTTTACAAACGAATATTTATAAAATACGATGCCAGTGTAAACTCACAGATTACTGGTCAAAATAATAAAGACGCACTGCTTAACCCTAATTTAATAATTAGATCATATCGTAATTATCAAAATATCAAATTTTCGTCGTAATATAAAATATTCAAGGTCAGAAACTTAGGTCCATTTAATTTATCTTAATACAAGATTACACAATAATATAAAATATAGGGAAAAGAAGAAGATTCACACGAAACTATCTCTGAAGTAGAGTGATAACCTGATTTTTGGTAAACATTTTCAAAATTATAGTAGTAAGCATGCGGTAACACACCACATCTAGTATTTTTCATTTAGAAACCTACTTTGAATGTAACTGTCATACCTAGCGATGATTCTATAAGTGCTTTAAAAGTTCAATAACATTTTAAAATGGAAAGAAACATCAAGGATAGTCATCAACATCAAAATAGTTACATTTGATGCGTTTATATTTCATTTTATTTGTTTTAAATTTATATACTAACATGTATTTTGAATTGCCCTAAAGTCATTCTAGTTCATATTTACTGTAGCTTGCGTATAAGTATTCCATGTTACATAAATTGATTAAATTAATAAATACAGAAACGCTGATCGAAAACAAATTAAATGCTTAGCTACACCCATTCAATTATAAACAAAGCGGCCAACCGCAATGACAATAGGTTTTCTTGAAAAGTTGTAACGAAGTTATGAAGTTATAAATGTATCTTGTGACTTGAACATCAACAGGATAAACATTCAAATACAGTAATAACAAAATGTTGCAAACATTAACCGATTTCATATGCGTTCAAATAGCTACTGTGTAACAAATTTGATCTTCATGAATGAGATATTTCTTTCGTAAAAAGTAAAAAAATTAGGCAGGAATATTTTGAATAAAATATTTGAAAAATGATCTATTTATAAAAATAATGTATGCGTAAAGTTAGGTTACATAATCTATCGAAATGTTAAATTAAATTGAGGTGAATTAATGTTAGATATGAGATTAGATTGCATAATAATATTAAGATAATAATATTGTCAAAATATTAAGGTGGCACTTTTCTGATGAAAATCTTTATTTTTTTTAACCTCTCGATCACTGCACTTTCTATTTAAAAAATGAAGACTTTTAAGATTTTGCCAAATTAATTTAAATGTAGCAAAATTATTTTAAAAGCATAAATTTTATTCAAGCCTAAATAAAGAATGTTTCACGCGCAAACTGATTTGACTAAAATAGTTGTTCGAAGGTTCATTTTCTTTAATTAAGCACTGTAAGTAATCACTTTTTGAGACGGACAATTAAGATTTCTAGACATATGGCAATTTTAATTAAAGATTATTTGGAATAATTTATAATAAAAAAAGGTACTTCACAATATCGAAATTTTTTTCCTTGAGATCATTGATTGTCAAGGATTATATATTGTTTGCGTCTAACCATTTATATCGTATATGTTATGAAATTATATCAAATGCTATCGTAATATGAAGAAATACTTTAAGATTGTGGTATAATATGCTCTGGTTGTATGTGTCACTAATAAATAAGAGAAGTAAATCTTCGTGATAAATTGTAAATAAAATATTACTTGTGTCAGGTAGGACTGAAAACGACTATGCAGTTGGAATGATTGCCTCATATTCTCAAAAAAAAATGAAGTTTCGTATTTTACAGATAAAAATGGTTATATTGATTCAGTATCATTTTTTAAATAAGCGGTAAATT